CATGGAATTTCTGCCCTATGGGTGAGCAGAGGCACAGGTGATTGGGATTCAGTGTTCTTGACTTTCTGTGACTGAGGTAGAATCTTGCCCTGTAAGTATTGGGTGAAGGAAGGTACATGTTGCTGGGAAAGTGTGAGCTATGTTGGTGGCTTTCCCCTCATGTATCCCTTACTAGGATCTGGAGGAAGAGGTATTCCCATCTTTCTGGCCTCACTTGCCCAGAGTGGAGCATTGGCCTGGAAGGAAGAGAGGGAGTGGGTTGTAGCTCAAGTTGCACAGATTCTAGCTGTTCTTACTTAGATTTAGTTGACTTTCTTGAATAAGTCCTATTTTATTTGTTGTATGCTCTTAGGAATATTCCACAAGACTAAATTCTAGCTTTTTGTTTTTGTTTCATAGTTTTCACCAGTAAAAGTTGTAACACTTGGGAAGGGGTCCATTGAGCTCCTTTTTGTGTATCATCACTTGTTGGATTTGGGGTCACTGAACCAACCTTGCATCTCTGGAAAACCCCATTTGGTCATGTATATAATTCTTTTGAGATATTACTTGATTCCATTTGCTAAGATTACATTGTGGGTTTTTGCATCTGTGTTCATGAGGAATACTGGTTTGTAGCTGTTTTTGTTTGTTTTATACTGTCTTTTTCTGACTTAAGTATCAGACTAATACTGGCTTTATAGAGTGAGTTCGGAAATTTTCCATTCTCTACTATTTTCTGGAGGAAGATTGAGAAGAATTGTTCTTAATTCTCATCTAAATATTTTGTGAAATCAGGCTCAGGAGATTTTATTAAGAGATATGTTTTGAAACTATGATTTCAGTTTTTAAAATTATTATGTGGCTATTCAAATGATCTGTTTCATATTGAGTGGATTTTAGTAGTTTTTCGCTTTGTGAGGAATTAGTGCATTTCATCCAAGTTTTCAGACTGATGTATATAGATTTATTTTTTCCCTTCTATTACCTTGTAAATGTTTTTGGAATGTGTAGTGATAGCCTCAGTTTCAATCCTGTAATTGGTGATTTTGTCTTTTCTCTCCTTTCTTTTTTTTTTTTTTAATTAGTCTTGTTAGAGGTTTTTATTAGTCTTGTTAGAAGTTAGTCTTTTCAAAGAACCAGATTTTTATTTCACTGATTTTGTCTATTTTTTATTTTCAAATACTTAGATTCCTGTTCTTACCCTTCCTTGGTTTATTTTGCTCTTTTTCTAATTTTCCTCAAGTAAAAGCTTAGACTATTAATATGAGACCTTCCCTTTTTTAAAAAATGTAAGCATTTAGATTTACACATTTTCCTCTCAGCTCTGCTTTGACTGTATTTCACGAATTTTGATATGTTGAGTTTTAAACTTCAGTGTACGTTTTATTTCCCCGAATCCTTTTTGTCCTGTGGATTATTTAGAAATTACTGTTTAATTTCAAAGCTTTTTCTCCTGTCTTTCTGTTGTTTTCTATTTTGATTTCATCATAGTCACAGAGCACACTATTGATTTCAGTTATTTTTAATTCGGTAAGGTTTGTTTTATGACCTAGGATATGTTCATGGACAGTTGAAAAGAGTATATACTCGCTGTTGTTGAGTAGAGTGTCCTAGAGATGCCAATTAGATCCCGTTAATATATTGCTGAATTTTTATATATTCTTGCTGATTTTCTGTTTAATAATTTTAGCAATTTCTGAGAGAGAAGTGTTGACTTACTGACTTATATTTGTACCTTTTATGTGCCTTCTCTATGACTTAGGTTTGTCATTTTATTACTTGTTTTCTCTTCTGCTTTTCATTTCTCTGTTAAATTTTTTTTTCTGCCTGTTTTGTAGATTATGTGAACATTTTCTAGAATTCCATTTTACATTTATTATGATGTCTTTGAGAGTATCTCTCTGGTTAGCTTTTTTGATAGTTGGTCTTGGTATTACAATTTACATTAAAACATTTTCTTTCTATATTAGTATTTACGTTTGAGTAGTATAAACTGGTTAACCTTGTAGTTCATTGTGGGTGTCTTCTGTCCACAATTTCATTTCAAGGTTTAACAGTCCCTTTTGCAGTCTGCCTTTTTTCCCAAATCCTCCTCCTCTCTAGGAGATAACACATGCTACAGCTGTGTGATGGTGGTGGTGGCAGGCCAGGCTTCCCCCTTAGCTTCTGCTAACACTCAATGAGGGAACTGAACATTGCCTGCTACCACGAAGCCTAAGTGGAAGTTCAGAGTATGTGCCACTGAATTTTCATACTTAAAAATGGTTAATTTTATATTATGTGAATTTTACCTCAATAAAAAGAAGAGGAAAGAAAACTCAAGGAGTTCCATAACTAGACTGCTGCCTTTCTTTCTATCTTTTAGAGTTTAAAAAAATATTATTTGTTTCAGTATGTCCACAGTTTTTAGTTGTCCTTTGCTGAAAATATATATCAAGAAATGAGTTGGCTCCAACTTGTCTCTAGCAGAATACATCAGACTCACCTTAGTACTTTTTTTTAAAGAATAATGCTTGGGTTTTCCCCAGATCAGTTTAATCAGAGTGAGAGAGGTGGGTTGCATCAAAATAAAAATATTTGCAGGTGATTTGAATGGGCACCAACATTGAGAGGCATTGTTTGAAGCACATGCTTCCTGCCTTTGATAAGTTTTGCAAATAGCAATTTGACCCAGTTCTGGCTAGTGAGACATGAAGGGATGATCTTGTAAGATAACTTTTGTTAGGAAAGTTGTTCTTTTGAACGTTGTTATGTATGGGAATAAGTCACGGAATTGCTACGACCATCTTGCTAAAAGTCACAAATATACCCAACACTTGGAATACAGAGAGAGAGAAATAAACCTTGTCCTTGACTTTATGTCTCATCTGCCAAATTAGCTAGCTCTGGGATCTATTGTGCCCCGTACTTTCTTTCCATTATATGAAAAAAATATGTCCTTATTGTTTCAGCTTGCAAACTGCTATAGCTAATGAGAGGAAACCTTAATGGTAAAATATATCACTGTTCTCTACCATGTTACCTTCATCTGTTTCCTGCTGCTATAACAGAATACCTGAGACTGGATAATTTATAGAGAAAAGGGATTTATTTTGACGGGGAAGCTCAAGATCAGGTGGCCACGTCTGGTTGGCTTCTATGAGGGTCTTGTTTTTTGTGATGGCAGAGAAGCAGAAGGGGAAGTATGTGCATGTGAGAGGGACAAAACGCCAGGGGTGGCCTTGCTTTATTCCAATCCATTATAATTAATCCCTTGTGTGATAACAAGAACTCACTCTCTTGAAGCTTAATCTAGTCCGTGGAGAGCAACATCAATCCCTCTTAAAGATCTTATCACCTCTTAAAGGCCCCATCTCTCAATCCCACCATACTGGGGACCAAATTTCCAACACACGAAAAACTGGGGAACAAACTCAAACCATAGCACTTGTTTTTCCAATATATGTCTTGTATAAATGCAGCAAAAATAAACCTCTGCAGTGAATATATTGGCATATACAGTTACTTCTGCCAATATTGGGTTTTGTTTGCTGCTTAGGTTAAGATGCCAGAGTAGTGGTTATTGTTATCGCTCTTGTCTCCTCAAATTACTTTCCCAACAGAGATATCTATCTACAATGCTAGCACCAGTAAGTACTTTTTTATCTTTTAATCATTGGATTTTATTTTGGGGGTTGTTTGGTCATGGCATGTCATTATAATTTCCCATTTTCATTTATTTTACTGAACATGTTGATTATTTCTCTGTGCTTTTATTCATTAGTAATATTTGGCCGGGTGCAATAGCTCAGTCTTTTTTTTTTTTTTTGAGTTGGAGTCTCACTCTGTCGCCCAGACTGGAGTGCAGTTGCCGCTCCCGGCCACTGCAGCCTCGACCTGCTGGGCTCCGGCGATCCTTCTGCCTCAGCCTTCCAAGTAGCCGGAATTACAGGCATGAGCTACCACGCCCGGCTGAATTTTTTATTTATTGCAGAGATGAGGTCTCACTGCCCAGGCGGGTCTCGAACCCGCGGGCTCAGGCAATCCACTCACCTCAGCCTCCCAAAGGCGCGGGATTACAGGCTGAGCCACCGAGCCCGGCTGCTCAGCCTTTAATCCTAGCACTTTGGGAGGCCGAGGCGAGAAGATGTCCTGAGCCTGGGGTTTCAAGATCAGCCTGGGCAACTTGGTGAGACTTCATCTCTACAATAAATCACAAAAACTAGCTAGGCATGGTGGCGTGCGTTTGTAGTTCCAGCTACTTGGAAGGCTGAGACGGAAGGATCACCTGAGCCCAGCAGGTAGAGGCTGCGGTAGCCATGAGCGTGCCACTGCACTCCAGCTTGGGCAATAACAGTGAGTCTCCAACTCAAAAAAAAAAATTAGTAGTATTTCTTTTTCAGGGAATTATCCCATCATATCTTTTGTACCACAATTTAGTAATTTTGTAACTTGTGGATGCTGTAGTTACTCTTTAATGCCTACATGGTAGCATTGGTGTGAGATTAAAATGAGGTATTTTTCTAAAGTTCTCTTGGGTACTTTTGTAATGAAAATGTTAGTCCTTTAACAACTTGTAACAAATAATTTTTACCATCTTTGTTTCCCTTTTTGGCACTATTTGTTTTATACTAAACTGTATTTTAAATTGTATTTATCCAAATATACCATTTCCAGTCATAATTTGAATATAAGAATAAAAGGCATAAGAAAATGACATGGATATATACAAGTTAGTGTGGCAATAATATGAAATAACAAAAATACCATGATAATAGCCTGAAAGTGAAAGGCATTCTCAATAAAAATATTTTTTTTATGTCTTCATATTTGTTGTGTGCTCTTTAAGCCAATTTGCCTAAGGTCAGGTTGTTTTCTGAAAGTATCAAGTCCCATGTAAAGTCTTTATTTTCAACCAAATCATCGGTATTGGTATGGAAACAGTTGCCAATTTAACAGATGAGGACAAAAAATTGACTAGGTTAAAAAGCCTAAAAGGCATAGCCTGTCAAAGTTGATTTCATTTATTTTTCTTCCAGAAACATGATCAGGGGCAAGTTCTGTTGGATACTGTCTTCAAACATCTTGATTTGACTGAGCAAGACTACTTTGGTTTACAGTTGGCTGATGATACCACAGATAACCCAGTAAGTTTAAGCTGTTGTCTTTCATTTTTATTTTAATTTTTCTCCCTGTTTGAAGTATAAAGTCCTTTCTGTCACTAAGGGAAATGGATCCTAAACGAGGTGAAGTGGGATCCTGAGGGAGGCTTGTAAACCATGCATATACCTAACCCTAACTTGTACTCTACATCGTCATAATAAAATAAAGTGTTTTTTAAAAAAAGTATAAAGTCCCTTCTGAATTATAATGCTCACTGATTTAGTGAGTTTTTTTTTTTTTAACTTGATTTGAATTAGAGGTAATTCTTGTGCATTTGTTCTCCTTTTCTTGATGTTTTAATCTGTCAGGAGTTATTGCCTTTAAGGTTTTCATAATTAGAAGTCAGCTAATGCCAGTTTCATTAGTTGTGTCTCAAACAACTAAAAAGTAAATCTAATTCATGCCTGTTGATTGAGGGAGAGAAAACTGGGCATAAAAGTTAAAATACCTTGAGACTTAAATAAATTAGTCTACTCTAAAATAAATTAATTTTTATGGTATTTATGGAGAGCTATTTCTAACCAAAATTCTTAATTTATTCAGTGTAAATTTTCCAAATTTCAACAGAGACGAAATTTCAGAGTTTTACAATTCTTTAGCATTAAGTTCCTTGGATTTGTACTTATTCTTCAATAATTGCAGTCATGTTCTTTGATGTCAAAGATCACACCACAGAAATAGAAATGTTTACTTTTACAATTAAGCATTATAAAATGCCCCAAAGAATATATCTTACTCTGAACCTAGATAAAGGATATACTGGCAAATTCTTGAATTCTTTGTAAATTTATATGCTTATGTAATGAGAGACTTCTGCAAAAAATATATTCTTTTGATTAGTGTAAGAGAGTGTCCGTTTTGAAAAATATTTTGTGTCAAAAAATTAGGAAGCTGAAGAAATGGCTCTCTAGATTAGTGTTTTGGAAATCTGTGTTTAAGGCTATATTAATAGAATGGCTGTAGAAAACACAGATAGCATTTATGAGAAAAGTAGGTCTCTTTCTCTCCCTTCTTCTTCCCCTTCTTCTTCCCCCTCCTTCCTTGCCCTCTCCCCTACCTCCTTCTCTCCCTCCCTCCCTGCCCTTCATGGTTAGGATCCTAGTTTTTTGAATAAGTAGTTAGTGGGATGTAAATATGAAATATTAAATACTACTAATTTTATTGACATCATTTACTGATGTATTTGAAGCCAGCCGTGGAAAAATATGATGTTTATGTGAATAAAAACAAACCAAGGGGTGTCCACTCTCAGTGAAAATCAATGTTCTTATACCGAACTAGCATTAAAACAAACTTTCCTATACTTTGATGTCTTTAGTAGATGACTTGAGCTTCTCCAGGGACCTAGAGTTATACTGTTATTTCTTGATAAATAAACCCATATAAAAATACAAGTGAGTAGAAATGTTTGTAATTGTCTTTCCCAGTGTTAACTTAAAATAATCAAAAGGGTCCGAATGTAGTTATAGAGAGTTTATTCAAGAGAAAAGTTTGAGGACAGCATCCCAGGACATACTTTCAAGTTCCCTTAGAGAGTATTTCTTAGAACCAAAGAAAGGCTTTTGTTCTAAGGAAAGTTTTTAAATTCTCTAAGTTTCTAAGTTCTAAGTTTTTAAACTCTAAGGAGAGTTTTTTTTGTTTTTGAATCAGAGTCTCACTCTGTCACCCAGCCTGGTGTGCAGTGGCACACTCAGAGCCACCACAGCCTCGACCTGCTGGGCTCAGGCGATCCTTCTACTTCAGCCTTTGAAGTAGCTGGAACTACAGGCACATGCCACCATGCCCGGCTAATTTTTTGTTTACTGTAGAGATGAGGTTTTGCCAAATTGCCCATTCTGACCTTGAACCCATGGGCTCAGGCAGTCTTCTCACCTCGGCCTCCCAAAGTGCTGGGATTATAGGCATGAGCCACTGTGCCCAGCCAGGAGAGAGTTTTTAAAGAAAAATAATAATAATAATCAGGAGAAGAGGTGATTACAAAAGTTGGTCATCTGGAATTCTCATTCGTTTACAGAAATAATGTTGGTTACTGATTGACTATACACTGTTGAACTATAGGGTGTGTGACGTTTTATAGTTTATGGACTACAGGATGTGTGGCATCAGTTAGTTTAGAGCCCACATAGCAAGTGGCATCAAGATGATCATGTAGCTCAGTGGGGAGTAAGACGTGAGTGTTGTTACATTTTAAATGCCTTTCTGGTCCTGATAATTTGAAAGGGCTCACATTCCCCCATAAGGTTTTTTTTTTCATTCTTACCGGAAACATAAATTGTAAGCCAAGCAAATACCTGAAAGGTGACTGTTACACCTGTGTGCGTGCAGCATTGAGAGAAAGAAAACTCTAATTCTTAAATTATTTTGCTGATTCTTATAGTTCACAGCCTCTAGTCATAATCCTGGCATTAGGTTAACTGGAAAAGTTAAAAGACAGCAAAAGAAGAGACCAGCCACTCACCACCATAGTCACTACCATGAGTATGAAAACCATCCTTTCTAAGAAAGTATACCAGAAGGACTGATATTGAGATTACCTATACTACAAGGGATAAGCATTTGATCACATAAATTTGTGAACAAAAAGACATATCTACTCTGAACCTAATTATACCAGAATGAATGTGAGGAAGCAGGGGTATTTTGGGCTAGGTTGATCTTTTTTGCCGTTTCCTACTTTTACTTTGTCTTTTCTATCTTGAGCATTCCTTCTCAAATAAGATATATTCCCAGTTCCAGGAGGCCAACTGCATGTAATCCAAAATCATTCTTCCAGAAAAGTTGGAATCATAGAATTTTAAGGAGCCAAAAGAGACTTTAGAGCTGATCTACTCTAACTCCCTCATTTTTCATTTTCCAGAGATAAAGACAGAGCTGTTTCATAGCATTAACAAAACTAGAACCTGGATTTTCAGTATTTTAAATATTT